TATATATATTATATACATATATACACACACACTGTATGTGATGACAAAGCATTTGTAAATGTAGAAATGAAGATACTCCAATGGTACTGTGTGGAGGACTTATTGAAGGCAATATTTCTTTTTTTTTTTCACTTCTTCATACAGCTTGAGATCTGTTTGCAAAGTCAGCAGTTCTGGCTCAAAGTTTTTTGTTTTGTGAAGACTTCACTGTGGGCTAATTGGCTGAAAAAATAATATTTTAATCTCTTTTGTCAACTAAACAGAAGATTTATCACACATGGCTTTTGTTTTCTTACTTTTGTCCTTTTCTGCTGGTGTAAACATAACCAGTTGGTTTGTGTTGTTGAACTGCATGGGAACAACAGTGCATATATTGGATTTGTTGCTAGTGATAATAGTTGTATTTTTGGTTGTAGGTATTTGAGTTCAGATTGAGCTGTTTTTTATTTGTTATTAGAGTTCTAATCAGATCAAAAGCTGAAACACTAAGAGAAACAACGAAGGGGCTCTCAAAATGGACTTTTTTGTGGTGAACTTGAACAGTTTAACACAACTCCTGATTCACAGTTGTCTTTTTATTTTTTATTTATTTTTTTTTGTAAAATGCTCAGCTTAGACTTGTGATAATTATCAGTCTCTATTTCTAATCTTTGGTACTTAAACAAAATCAGTGATATTAAGACTTTAAATGTATGATTCCAAATAACCATCACTTGGAAGAACTCTTAAAATATTCCTGGAGTTTTGCCACTTGTAATTTTTCCAATATTTTAATATGTATGTAATGTCAAGTTCAACTTGATAAAATGATTTTTTAAATTTTATTTGCACTATATAGCCCCAAGCCTTTTGACTGTATGTACATAGCAAAACACATACAATAATCATTATCTCTAGAATCTACAGGTATTGTATCTATTACTTAAGATGCCAGTGCTGCGTAAAAGAAAAAAAATATGAAGAAAATATTTATTGTACCTTCATATTTAGCATTTAACTGCTTGGTTCCGCTTGAGATTTCTTGAGCTCCAAATTAACCTTAATTGCACAAAAAAACTGCACATGCTTTAGATGTCTTGTTGTTGTTAGGTGGTGGCAAGAAATTTTTAGGGCAGAGTAATTTTATTACATACATTTTTTTTCTGGAGATGCAATGAAAAATGTTGGGAGAGATGTCCGTGAGCTCGGATAAGAGCCAGTCTCTCTCTCTTTTTTCTGTCTTTCATTAATAAGTCAATATCATTATATATATTATAAAGAATAAATTTTTGACTTGTATGCTTTTTTGAATTTAATAGTGCAGAAATGCTATTCTTTCTCTGGAATACTCTGCCTTAAATTCTCAAGCCCAAGAACACTTMGTTATTGCAAGGAAGTCTGGCTCACTCAGACCAATATAGATTTAAAAACTTGTCTCCAGATTTTTGCAAACCAGTGTATTCAAAAAAGAGGTAAATAAAATACTGTTTAACTGTATAGATATTATTTTCTACATCCTTGTTTTTTGTTTTGTTTTGTTTTTGTTAACGTGTATGGTCTCCAAGTTGGTAGAGCTAAAGATAAGCTCCACCAGCTTGGACAAAGAAGCCCTGTGCCACAATCCCTAAAGTCATTAGAATAGCAAATTTAGTCATGGAAATACACAGAGGCTAGCTGGTTCACATCAAGTCTTCCTGGAGGACACTCTACTGAGTGATCTAAAAGCTTATACAGTGCTGTACGTTTTATGGCTTGTATGTTTTATAAATATAATTTTGAAAAAAAATATGAAAATGTGTAACTTCTGTAGGAAATAATGTTTTTAAGTGCCCTAGGTATGTTAAACTAGTGTGAAAATATATCAAAGATCTATAGTTCAAGTTTGATTAACAGGAACACTTAAATCTTCAATATTTTTATCAATTTAATTTTAAAATTTTAGGTGTTAGCGAGGAAAGAATTGTTTTTGCCATGTTCTAAACAGATTCATAATATATAGGCAGTATAGACTTGTGCTAAGTCTTCTTGGTCTCTTTTTTTCTGAGTCATTACGGTCATTGCGTTTTTTACAGCTTATTTAAAACCAATTTCTATAAACACAACACATATCATGTGGTGTTGCATGAAATCCTTGTTTCTTTTCATTACTGGCCTGCTAGTCAGCTACAAACATTAATACAGCACTTGCATTATGCAATGATAAGAATGATGTCTGTATAACTTTTATACAACACCCAGTAGAAAACCAGTTTGTCTACTTGTCCTGTTTACCTATGGTGTTTTTGAAACCCAAACCTAAACACCCATGGTTTACTTTGTTTTGTCTGCAATGATCTTAAAGTGGATTTACATTTTATGTTGTTTCATTGAGAGCCTACACTTCTGGTAATCTTCAGAGGATTAAAAGCCAAAGAAAAAACAGCTTTGACTTGTTGTGAAGCAGATTGCCTCTTAGAGATGTTTTAGAAGAAGATCTAGGCTGATAAATGTAGTGTGATACTAAATCACATTTGTTATGTTATAGCAAATATACCTACTGAACTGTAGCAAAATTGTCAAATTTAGACTCAGACTGGGATAAAGTCAGGCATTGCCAGTTCTGCCATGACTGTTTCACACTGTGTTTTGTGCCGTCATTTAAGTCCCAATCTGTTACACAGTTAGACAATTATCACAAGCCCAGGCACACCCGTGTACTGTTTGGCACAGTCTCATTGTAATGAAATTACATTCACCATGACTGATGTGAAAATGAACCTTTGAACATTTTTTACTAGTGCTTATGAACTTTGAGGTCAGAATACTATATTGTTTTGAAAGAAGTCCACCTTTAGTGTGGGTGGGAATCAAATAAACCGTTTTTTAAACTAATAGAATAGCTTTATATGTTTATCTTTTCTGTGACCACCCCCTGAGTCCTTAGATTTTATTAGGTTTGCACTTTTATTTTTGCAATAGCTGTTTGGGATTAATGACCTTATAATGCCAAACATTGCTTTTGACTTAAATAAAAAATTAAATGTTAGAAAATGAAAACACATAAAAACTTACAAATTTAAACAGTCTTTTTAAATAAGGACAACATGCCTCAGTTGAACAGAAAAACATAAGCTGATGTTCCATGTGACGAATGAGAAGCAGGGTCTCAGGAGGTGAAAAAAGCATGATACTACATAACTCTTAATATACTAGTTGTGTATAAAATGCAATGCAATGCTGTTTCCTGTGTTTATCACTGTTTCAGTTAATGTACCAACTTAAAACAATGGAAAATGCAGTTTATAGGTTAGGTAAGGTTAGGATACAGTTGACAGTACTAATCATGCTTACGTCCATTTTCTGCTTTTTACTGCATAAAAAGTTATGACAATAAATCTACTCCAAGAATTCCCACGAAGGTTTCCAGGATGCAAGCTAAGTACAACTGGATTATGGCCCTCAGTTTTTAGGTAACCATACGTAATGGAAAGTTCCATCAATGGTGCTTCTGTTAGCATCTACATTAGCATCTACCTTGTTTGTTTTCTTGTTCCGTGTTGGTACCCTAGAGGCATTTCTTAAAGAGTACTCTGTCTTTCCTCAGCATGCAGCCAAAGGATCACATCAGTCTTTACTCTTGCGTCTCCTTTCTGGCAAGAATATAGTGCACCTGCAGTGTTAGTTAGCCCAGAGCTAATGCAAATGAATCTGTCTAATCAAAGGCACTATTAGACTGGTTTTGTGTATGACATGGCATAGTAATGATTAGGCTTCAAGTGATATAAAACACATATTTTTGAAGTTGCCCAGAGACTTAAATGTTTTTTGAGCATTGTGAGTTATGCGCCACGTGCTGATTAGGTGAAGATATGGTGGTGGGCATAGCTGTTTGACAAATATATTTTGACGAGGCTTCAGCTTGGTTTTCCCAGCAAGCACTAAAATAGAGTCCAAAGCAGTATCACGCAGACCTTGTTATCCTAGTTTAATAAAAGTAAAACATTCAATTAAATAACAGGGCATGTTATTTAATCAGCCGAAGATGAAATTATTTTACTGTACCCACAAGATTAAGTTTTTTTTTCTGGTTTACTCATGTAATGTTGTGCATTAAAAGCAAGCCATCAAGATGTAATGTGTAGTATTTTAAAACCACTGTTTGTATTTTTTGGTTTAGAAGTGTAGTAAAACACAGTGAGACCTTATGTAGATAAAGTAATTAATTCAAAATGTACACTTGGTATTTCCAGGCACTGGAAAATATTATTGCAAATATGATTGGTTCGTTTTACTCAGTTTTCTTTTCTAGATGACCATGACCTAATAATATCTGCTTTTTTAAAGCATTTAAACAAATTGAGGTGATCATTTATCCTCAAATGAATGCCAGCTTTGGCTGCACATTATTGTTTTCCAGCTGGTTTTCCAACAAGAGGGTGGAAGAAGTGCCAATCTTTGGCAGTTAACAGGAAATAAATCACAATGGAAAGTTGTGCCACCCAACCCAAACCTGTCATTGCAAGTGTTTTTGGCTTCAGTATAAAAGCAAAAGATTGCATATCATTGAATCATTAGGTTATCAATGTCAGCAGGACCCCCCCTCCTCCCCCCAATGTTCAAAAATTCATAGTTAATCAACAGAATAGCAGTTTTCACTGTGTTTAAAACAGCCGAGGGCCACTAAATGAACACTTTATCTGGAAAACTATTGTGCAAGGCAAGACCTGCTTTTTAAATGCCATTCTTTGTCCATGTAGTATTAATTTATAGATTTTCACACTAACCGGTCTGCTTCATTAGGCCTTGTCAAACAAACTTCCGTAATTTCTACAAAAACGTACAAAAAAACAAACAAAAAAAACCAACTGAATCCGATCAAAATGCCAATGATGATATTTTGTCCACATTTTAATACTTAGTAGCACTTTTAATCTGAATTCCAGCATGATGTGATCCAATACATTAGTGCTAAATTATTGACTTGATTTATTTTTAACATAAAATGCGAGAGCACAAGCTGAAGTGTTTCCAGAGTTTAGTCTTATTCAGTGAAACATCCAGAGTCAATCTCATCCACCACTTGATCAACTAAAATAATTTTCTGGATAGAAGCGATGTTCACTTCATTATTGTCTGTTCTTTTGCTAATCTTGTGCTCACTGCTCACACTTCAATAAAGCCAAGCATGGGTGGTTCTTTTTTGCAGCTTTAAAATGATAAATTTCGACATTTAATTTGCCTCTTTTTTAAGGAAAAGAGACAAACTAGTCAGATTCTTCAGTCACAAGAATTTAGGCCAACGTTTCCTCCTGGACTTTCTTCAGCTACCTTTTACTAAGCCTTTCATTTAGACATTGAAGTCTTGCAGAAGAATTGGTGTCTATTGAATGACAGGGTTACCTTGTTTAGTACAGGGGATATTGTGTCTTCCCCACCATTCCCAGTCCTGGAAAACAAGTTCTGTCTCTTTGTCCTTATGCTGAGGACACCTGAGAAGTCTGTGAAGGACAATGAGTGAAGATCTTACTCAAAATGTGCTAAAAATAGTGAAAAAATAGACTAAATGTTATTTTGTGAAAAACAAACCTCGTTGAAGAAAGACTTGTTTATGAAAAAGATGCTTCATAGGAGCTAACTAACAAATCAATCCTAAGTATCTCATCATTTTGAGAGGCTAATTCTTCCCGTTGGAAACCAGCGTTACATGTTATGCAAATTTGCACTGAGTTATGGATTATTATCAGTTTTTAATAAAGTGAATCAAAAGGCTTAAACTCTGTGACAGACTCCGTATTTAGTTTTGTCGCTCTGCCCTAATCATCCATCATATTGATGTGTGTCTATGTGAACATTAACACAAGGAGGACTAATTGTCAGCATCTGGCTGTTGGTTAACAAAGTATGCACTGATTTGTTGTTATTCAAGTCACCGGTGAGGTAGAGGATGGTAAGATGAGCTTGAAGGTCAGTTTTGGTGTGTTTGATTGTCCAGTCTGACCTGTAACTGTGTATTATAGTACATGTGCTGCCTATCAGTTAAGTGAAAAACCTTTTAACTTCATTTATGAGGCTTTGCAAAATTTCCCGGCATCAAGACTGAAATCTAAAAGCAGTTCTGTCTTTGACTCGATTATCCCATCACATGCCCTCATTATCCTTTGCTTTAGTCTCAGGGCATAGATAAGAGGTCTGAGTCTTTCTCACATCATTCCAGCACTCCCCAGGAGCTGGACAGCTTCTGGTAGTCCTCCAGTTTACCATGTGGTAGAGTGAGATTTGCAACAGAAGGTGAATCTTAATTGCTGATATTTTGCCAGGACTCTTCCCTGACCTACATTTAATTATTCAGAACGAGCCCGTCCCATGTTGTGAAAATATGGCAAATGATGGCCTTTCTTTACATAATGCGTTTGGGATTTCTTTTACCATCTATTTCTGTAATCTTGTGTTTTATCTGTTGAAGACCACGTTCAGCAATGTTCCAAATAAGCATTTTCTTATATGCTGAATAAAGGTTTTACTTGAGGAGGAATAAAAATATCCAATGGAAACAAAAAGGTTAATAACCGAGGTGGACCTATTAATGTTCAGCTCATCACAGAGTACTCTCAGTGGGGTTAAGTCGGCATTGTTTGGGAGTTATTTCAGGTGTGACAATGTTATCTCATGGTACCTGAACCCCTTTTCTTTACCCCATTTTGTCCAGTTTATTAATCTAATATGAAATTGATATCATAGAATAAAACGTCTTTATTTTTTTACTGAAACATTTTTTTCACTCTCTCTTTCTACAGATATTATCGACAAGAGTGAACTTAAAGCATTCTTTGAGAGCAACTCCTCACAGATTTATTTTATCTTCTATGAAAATTTCATTACACTGGAAAGCAACTTAAAACAAAAAGGTAAGTGGAAAACATTTTGCTGCACGTTCAAAAGTTAACCAGAGCCTTCAGTAGTTTAATAGTTAACCCTCTTCCTTCTGCCAATCTGCATGTTATTGCAAAGGTTATTCTCTTTCTGCCCCATTTTTTTCCCCATCAGTAAGTGCAGGAATGCTAAAATAACTTTCTTTGTGTTTCAGGGATCAAATCTCAAAGGGAGGAGCTGGACTCTATCCTTTTTATTTTTGAAGTAAGTCACCTGCTTTTTGCTGATGTTTTAAATTCAGCCTAACAGGGGATCATAACTGCAGTAGTGCAGAATTGCAATTTTGCTTACTTCCTGAATTTGCCTCAAAAAAAGGCTAGGATTTAGGAAGATATTGTGTGTCTTATCTCAATCATTTCCTATAGTTATCTAATTTCTCACTTTTTAAACCCCCGGTGCGTATGCAAATCTAAAAGATCCTGTGTGTGTGTGCAAGATGTTGGGTCTGCAGGTTAAAATCCTTGACATTGTTTTTTCACCTAACTGAAAAGGCAGATCAAATTTCAAGTACAAACAATCAGCTCTCTGGTTACATTTGCTATGGGCAGTTCTGTAAAGACAGCAGCAGATCAGAATGGGAGGGAGGCTCTTTGTACCTTTTTGAACAATATGTTTTGTTTGAATTGTACACACGGTGACAGGGTTGTGTTCCTGTGTTTGTATGTTACATTTTTGCGAAGCTCTGAATTATACCCTTACCTTTTTTATTTAGCTTCTTATCAAAATACCCATCAAGATTAGAATAGTCTGGTAAAAAGGTCACTTAAATGATCTTTATTCACTTTTTTTCTCTTTGCATTATGAAAGCCACCCTGACTATTAGCACACATTCAGCTGTCTGACCTGTAAATAAATCCTGCAGTCCTTCTTTCAAATTTATGGAGTCAATATTGAAAGCAGCTTAACCCTCATTTGTCCCCTTTTAGCCCCTGTCTGTGACAACGTGAGCTTTCACCCGTGTGCTGAGTAGATAAGCTTACTTTGAGTGGTGTGTACAGGACAGATACAGAGTTGCTTTGATCCTGAGCTCTGACAGACTTTATGGACTTACTCTTTACTCCATATTAGATTAAACATTTTGAATCATATGTGGGCATTAATTTGATATTATTACAATGGGTCAGGTTAAACCAGAAAATATTAAACAGGAACATAAAATTTAAAGTAAAAATTTTTAGCAATATTTTGACACAACTAAGTTTTTAGCTTGTTTCCCCTTTTTATTTGAAGCAATGGCGTGTGCTGTATTTATCATCACAGGTTATGACAGTTTATACTTTATGCAAATTTATTTGATCAGTTTTGGTCACAGAAATGAAGGCAAAAGCCTTTGCAGCCGTTGCCCAGCTTGCCTCAGACCAGAGAGCAGAGTGGCCTATAAATGAATAATGTCTGGAACAAAATCCATTTTGCAGCACAAAGCTTTGCTGACACACTTTAATGGTTTATGACAGGTTAAGAAGAACAACACAGCTCAGCATTGTTGCCCCTGTTATTCTTTGTATGATTTTTTTTCTGGAAAGCAGCAGTTAGGTCTTCAGCCACCAAACAGATAGAAATACACTCCCACCATCATCTGAGTCCCACCTATGCACTTAAATTTGTTTGAGGCGACAATAAATAGTTTGTTGTGATTTGCTTAGGTGTGAATTATTTTTCCTTCTTAAGATGATAAGGTGTGGGGAGGGTGATCTCCCATGCTCATCTGTGGTATCTTAAGGGGTAATATTTGTTCCTCAAATGCTATAAACACTCCATGCTGTTTCTACCAGCAGCCATTGCTGTTCCCTTTCAGTACTGTGTGTCAGCTGACAAATGTATCCACAGCTGCAGCTGTTGAAGCTGCACCTGAACTGACCAATAACAGACCTTACCTTTTGTATAATAGCGACAAGATAAAGGTGAAAATCTCATTTGTTCTAACAGATTTAATGTTTAAACCTGCATGATGTCTGTAGTTTTTCCATTAGTCCCACAAAGCATGTTTTTTATTGAACATTTATCATTTTAAGGTCTTGGTATGCATTTTTGCTTCACTTCTGTGTAATATTTGTTGCTAGTAAGCATTGGAAAAGAAAAAAACTTAGTGATATTAATATTTTAATACAACCTTTTTTTATTGAACATCTACTGTATGCTGCTGCTTTGATAAAAAGTTAAGTAAAGTGTAACATAACACGTGTTTCGATGCCAAGAATAATTGTTTTATTTTTAATATAAAGTCCAGTGTGTTTGATGACAAAGAAGTGGCTAAAATCAATTAGAGAAGATTTGTTCTCCATCATGTCTAAAATACTACGGGATTGTGAAACTGTTTTTGAAATACTTCGCTGTAATCAACAAGTACAACAAACAAAATGTGCATCTTGGGAAATGATATTTTACAATATTTAAATTCTAAGCCCCAAATTATAAATAGGATTCTCCTGAATGTCTTTGAATTGCAGAATGTGAGTTTTGACATTCTAGTTGGGAAATAATGTTTTGACTTTGTAAAGTTGTGTGGTGAGAATCAGCTACCAGCACTATAAGCTGACCAGTTATTAAGAGAAATTATGGAAAAGCAAATTCCAGATGTGGATTGCTGATAGACGTGTTAGGATGTATTTTCAGAAAAGGGGGTGTATGTAAAGGGGTTAAATGCAACATGGATCTTCTGTAAAAGATTCACTTCTGTCTCCATTTGAAATAATTTTCTATTTCATGTTGAACTTAGGATATTGGTTTGTTGACTCTTGCTGCTGAACACTTTCATTGCTTAGAGAATTAAGTACATGGAAGATATTTTTATTGACAAATACTGATTTTACATAAAATAATAGACCAGTTTAGGTTTTAAAATGTTTTTTTTTTTCATCACAAGACCAGAACTGAGCTTCTGAGCCTTGAACTCTCTCCTGATTTGTTTATGCTCCCGCATGACTGTTGATGACCCCTCGCTGCCTGAGTGAGTGTTTATCTTGGTGCCACTGAGGTTGTGGGACAGGTTAAGGGACAGCCTTGGGACCAACTAAACTTCAGAGGAAAATCTGCATGACCTCTTTCTTTCCAGGATATGACTTCGCCGTGACCTCTTGTCTGTCATTCGGATCTGACTCAGCATTCCAGTGGTCCCTTGTTATCCCTTCTGAGAATGTCCTCATCTAAAATACTGTATCTTCTTCTTTTAATGGATATTTTTGAACGTAAATGTGCCATTTAATTAGTTTACATTTTTTTTTGATTAAACATTTTATTTATTGCCTTTTGGGGTATTATGTTTAAAGAAAAATAATCATTTTAAAAACTCCAGCCTTTTTTGTAAGCTGTTACTGAATTAGTCTAATTTTAAACTGTTTTTGACATCAACATTTCATGTTGTTAGACTTTATTTGATACATGTTTTGCCCTACAAATATTCCCCTGTAGTTTTTCTGCCAGGTGCAATTCAATCAGACTTATTTCAAAGATCAGTCATGTTAAAGAATTTTTTTATAAAAAAAATTGCAACATTATTTAGTATTTATTTTAACCTAACATTTTCTGTTTTCTGAACTTGTTCTGCATTACAAGTCTTGACCTGAAGGCTGGTTAATTCTTAGTAGTTAGGTAGTTAGGGTTTTAAAAATAAATGACATGAGTAGGTGAGTATTGGTATCTGAATTATTGAGTTGTACTGCACATTTTACACACAAGGAGGAAATTCCTATTCTAACTCTCGATGTCTCTACTGACAGCTTTCATATAGTCAAATTTAACATTTTAATTTTAGGCAGCATTAAAATTAGCATACTTTTTCTATTTAAATTCACTGTGGTAAAAAGAATTTCCAGGTTCACCTCAGGGTGTTCTGATGCAGTTCAGCTTTCAGAAAGTCCAAAGAGCAGCCTAAAGCTGTTGACACTGAACAGCTGGGTCAGCAGCAGTGAGATTGTGTGCTGATGCTGCCCCCTGCTGGCTTTAGAAAATTAAAACTGCACCGTAATTCTGCTAATTAGTGTGAATTTCTTGATGATAGTTAAGAGTGTTAAAAGTGTTAGACCTGGCTTTGGTTTAGATTTATAAATGGATTTTACAAGATATTTGCTAAAAAAAAATAGAGCAAACTTCAAATAATTAAGCTCTTTTATTGGGCCACACAGTTGTACATAGCATGACTTGCTGAAAAGAAAGCTCTTATATAGTGATATAGTGATTTTTATTGGGATTAACAAATTACACACACTGATCACTGCATTAGATTATTATGTGTATGTAGTTTTGGTGTATTTCTGTAGATGTGGTAATTGTTTCTGTAGTGTTTTAGTAACTGGAGAGTTTTTGTCATCCTTTCATGTTCTCAGAAGTCCTAAACAACATAAAGGACAGCTTTTTTTCTGAGATCGCTGAAAGTCTGTGTAGACCACCTATATTCTGTGTCATGCTCAGGCTCTGCCTCTGGAAACCTAAGTGCGGATCATGTAAATGTGTTAAAGCTGCAGTCGTGCAACAATAATGCCCCCATCTCTATGCTGGTGCAAGGCTGCAGATTAGAGTAACTCCTCCAACCTCTAGCCCAGCAGACTTTGCGTTTGCTTCACATCAGCCAGTAAATTCCTCGTTGTTGGTTCGTCTCTTCCCTCTCCACGGGGAGTATTTCTGAGTTAGTTTGTACATGTTCTTTCTACCCTCCTTATTATTTTTTTTTTTGGTGGGGGCTATTCTGTGAGAAGAAAGACAGTGTTATTTTGTCTGTATGTACACACACACATACACACACAGAGTAAGACTTAAGAAGACTTCCCTGCTGTGCTGCTGCTGAATATGTCTCTGCTGCCCCAAGGAGACACAGTAAAGATGGCCAGTACAGCCCCTTTACTGAGATGTAATAATCCCTCATGGAATCAATACTAATGTGCAGCCACATGTCTGTATACGCATATAAATCATGTCTGTGGATCAGAGAGAAGTCAAACCATACAGAATGTCATCTTATACCGCTTTAAAATGATGCATTTTTTTTATATCACTGCTGTTACTGAGAATGTCAAGAATTTTGTCTTAGAGGACAAAAAGGTAAAGAGGCGGTGGTGGAGTATAGTTTTGACAAGCTACACTTAACATGGAATGACTTCTGGGTCATAGGATAAATTGAAAAAGACTAGTTATAACATGTAACGCCTGAAAAATATAAGATTTATTATAAACAGATGTTTTTTAACATGTAAAGATTTGTTATGTTCTAAAATAAAACCACACATTTCTTACAAACATTTATTTCCTATTTTTTAAATTAAATACTCCTGTAGCATCATGTAGCTGCAGATGACTCAATCTTTTCAGTCTTGCACTTTTTTTCCCGTCATGCTCTTCTCTGCATTTCTCACAGTCTAGGGCAGATGAGCTTTTTATTATGCTGACCAGCATTGCTCGTCTGTTTGAGAGGGTCAGAGCTGCATGTAAGGAGCAGTAAAAGACTGGCATGATCTCTCCATTACAATTGTAGAGTCATATTGGGTCATTGATTGGGCTTTGATGAAAATTGAACCCCTAAGGATTTAGTTGCTCGCTGTGAATTAAATCAGCTAGCGAAGGTTGCACAGCTGCACACATTGTACCCCTGCCTTTTTTCCTTCTCTTCAAAGAGACCTGGTTAACCTGCTGGTAGACTCAAGAATAATGATAGACTGCTGAAAGGTTAGGGTGCACTAATTGAGTTAAAAAGTGTTTACTGCTGAGGCGATGAGTGCTCTCTTGTGTCACAAGGTTTTACACAAGCATGAAGCAAAGAGGAGACCTTTGGTACTCCTTTGGTCAGAATTGGCCACTTTCCAATAAAAAGCTGGTTGGTTATCGTTACCGTTTTGTATTAGAATGAAACTTGATGTAGGCATATTTGTGTTACCCATATCCATCCATCCAGCCATCCATCTATCCATCTGCTTATCCGGGGTCAGGTCGCGGGGGCAGCATTAAGCAGAGAGACCCAGACTTCGTTCTCCCCAGCCACTTGGGCCAGCTCCTCTGAGGGAATCCCAAGGTGTTCCCAGGCCAGCTGAGAAACATAGTCCCTCCAGCGTGTCCTGGGTCTTCCTTTGGGCCTCCTCCCAGTGGGACGTGCCCGGAACACCTCACCAGGGAGGCATCCAGGAGGCATCTTAACCAGATGCCCGAGCCACCTCAACTGGCTCCTCTCGACATGGAGGAGCAGCGGCTCTACTCTGAGTCCCTCCTGGATGACTGGGCTTCTCATCCTATCTCTAAGGGTCCAGACACCCTGCAGAGGAAACTCATTTCGGCCGCTTATATCCGCGATCTCGTTGTTTTGGTCACTATCCAAAGCTCGTGACCATAGATGAGGCTAGGAATATTAGACTGACCGGTAAATCTTCTTGATAGCTTTGCCTTTTGGGTCAGCTTTCTCTTCGCCATTACAGATGGGTACAGCGCCCACATCACTGCAAACACAGCATGAATCCGCCTATCAATCTCCTGCTCCCTTCTTCCCTCATTCATGAACAAGACCCAGAGATACTTAAACTCCTCCACTTTGGGCAGGACCTCCTCCCCGACCTGGAGGAAGCACTCTACCCTTTTCTGGCTCAAGACCATGGTCTTGGATTTGGAGGCACTGATCCTCAGGTTTATAAAATTCTTATTAGAAGAGTCAGTTTCAGCTATCTGGATAAGTTGAACCCTAACTATGTTGTGGTTCTTACTGGTTTTTGTGCCAGTTGTTCACATCCTTACTAGGAGTCATTGAAACGAAATGAGACTGAATGACAACAGCTTGTCTAAACTAGCATACCTTTTCACTAAAATATTTATTAAATATTTTTCAGCCCATCTGCATTGAAATATAAAACAGTTGCTTGTTTTCAACTATTATCTCCCTTATTGTAGAATATATTTTTGGCTACTGACTGTTGATCATTTAAGAGCACAAAGAATTATTGTGATTTTAGATGCAGAAACCAGCACTGTCAATTAATTTGGACTTTTTCATCTGCCTAATATTTTTAGATTTTAAATAGAAAAATGTAATGTAATTTGCTTGGTAAAACACAAAAGGCAGTGTTATAATAAAAATAGTAATTTAGAAAAAGCATGTTACCCAATCTGTAAATATTTCAAATATATCTATTTACTTATATCTATGGTAAAATGGTAAATGCACCGCTGGACCCTCTGATCACCACAGGCAAGGTTGTTGGAGTGTCTTGCTCAGGGACCCAATGGCTGAGACAGATGGAGCGGGGTTTGAACCCTCAACCTACCAGTTACAGGATGAACTCCTACCTCCTGTTGCCACTGTTAGCAAACAAATGACAGTGTTTCATCTTTAAAAGAAAGTCTGTTTACCAGGGACTTTAATTTAAAAAATGGCATCTTATATAGGGTATATATCCTCTTCTGCTGCTGCAACTTTTTTTTTCATTTTAACTTTAATTATTTATTTTCAATATATTAATCATTACTTTCTCTCTTTTTTCATCAGAAAATTCTGCAACTTCTGCCTGAGAAAATCTACAACAAATGGCAGTTTCACAGTATAGGTATGTACTTTTTAATATTTTGTTTCCTTTTAATTTAATGGCACTACCCTGACACTCACCATTATTTTTTTATAAAACATACAGCTGTTTTATGTTGCGTGTCTTATCTTAATTCTTTGATCTTCCATAACCTCAGAGAGACTTTTAAGGACAAAATAAATATCATCAGAACCTTGCCTAAGTCTTTGTTAATGAGGAGAAAATAATTGGTTTTAGAACAGAATGCAAATGGGAAATGCAAATGAACACTTGCAACTAAGTAAATTCATTATGCTTGCATAGTTTTGGTGCTGCCCAAAAAGTAAAACCTTTGCAAGAAGCAATAACTCCAATTATAACTGTTGTTGGTTAGTTTTCTGTAACTAAACTGGTCCTGTTTAGATCATTGTTCCAAACTGGTCAGTTCTGCAAGCTTATTTCAAATATCAGGACTCATCTCTGGATGAATTCCATAGAAAATTTCTTCAATTGGTTTGTCACATAGCAAGAAATTGTGAGAGGTTTAAAGTTGCCTCTTATTCTCGCTGCACTCACAATTTTCTTCTCCACTCCTCAGTTCACGTGTCATTGGTCAAGATGCAGTATTATTTATATAGTTGAGCCAAGAAAACTCTCTCGAACATTTTTTTTTATTTCATGTTCCGTCCAATTTCATTACAGATAGAAACCAGTGCCATCTGAGAAATTCCTTGAGTATCTGGAATGACAATAATGACTTGTCCCTTTCAAACAGTAGATTGCAAGGTCACAGATGTTTCACAAACTCTATTATAGCACTTCTGTCCCTAGACTCACGAGTATGAAAAGATTCAATTGCACTATTGTGCACCCAACATTCTGTTGAAGGCTGGAAAAACATGTTTATAAATTCACAAACATGTCCACTTCGCTTCACTTTTAAAATGAATTCAATTACTACCAGTTAAAGGAATTAACTTGCCCTTCAAGAATGCACCACACCAGTGGCATTATGTTGCATCAGTTCCTCAAGTATTTTACCTTTCTTAATATTTTCTTCTGTACTGGTGAAGATTATCAGTCTTCAGGTCATGGTAATGCTAAGTATTTGAATCCGAGATCCTAGAGTACATTAGGAGAGAGACCTTTGGTTCTGAATAAGAAATAAAAGCTCTGAGATGCCACCAACCTTGTACAGAAAAGGAGAAGCTATCATGGAGAGATAAGTGCCGGTATGTTTTAGACTGACTGACTGAGGAAGTGGCCGGTATTACTACAGAAAGCTGGACTAAAGAACAGCTGGGAATGAACTTGATAGTGCAAGACCAACCAACACAAAAGGTCAGAGTCTATCAGACCAGACAGGCTTCCGGGTGTAGATTGTACAGCGATGTCCTTGAGACAGACCAGGACATATTAGCTGGACTGTTTCAGATGCAGGCAGATGCAATATAAAGGAGAGCAAAGGCCCAGTGGGATTTCAGCCTGGCATGCAGAAAAAGGCAGTGATGATTACTGTAGGGATCCTAAATAACAGCATCAGAATGTAACATAATACGATTGCCTTTATCAGTGCATTTTTCTCACAACTGATGTTGTATAATGCATTTTCCAGACACTTTCCATACTACAATCAAGTAACTATGTTCTCTTCAGTTGTTACGAAAATTCAAATCAAAAATAAATTTAACTTAACATCATATCCTATCTAAATGCCTTGGAATAGGCCTTTTTCTCCTTAAGAATATCCTACCGTTTCTGACACTCCCCAAAACAATGCTTCATGCCATTTACAACTTTTTGTAGGAGCATTGTATTTTGTTGTAAGAAAAAGAAGCAAAATTGGATATCGTTTTGGAAAATGGCTATTCAGGGTACAGTTGAAACTCACTCGACTGATCCCTCATCAGACCTGTAAAGAATGTTTTCTGAAGAGCAGGAGTGATTACAGAGGCTCGTACAAGACATTTCAGCTTTAAAATACATATATCTCTTAGTCATCCTCTAAGCTACATTGTAGCCACAGCTGATGGAATGGGGGATGGAACCGGCAGCCGGTTAGGGTTCCATCGGTGACTCCCGTAATCACTCCCCACAGCCGCCCCGTGAAGAAATATTTCCACTGCTGTTACTCTGGTGGAGCTGTATGGGGGAGGCCCAGGGGAGGAGTTTTGTACCAACAAGTGTTTAGGCAGCTCCACATGACTACTACAGGAAAGTCAAGGATTTCTCAAACATGCATGAACGAGTCGAAACAACACTGTTTTTGATTTTTAGAACATGATCTGAAGCTAAAATAAAAGAAGTTGATTTTACATAATACCCCCGTCTTTAAAATTTGCATAATAAAAATGTGAAGTCATACCACTTTACCAAGTGGCTTGTTATGATGACTTATCAAAGTCAGTTTGTCTATGTGGAAATGTCACTTTGTGCTGTTTGTTTGGTCTTTGCCTGTCATTCAAGTTTTTTTTTAATTTGGAGTTTTATTTGAAACTTTTAATTAATACACTATTTCTTATCACTAGGTTCTATTCTGAAAAAACTTCTACACACTGGAAATTCATTTAAAGTAAGTACTTTTTTGCACGATAACTCTGTATGCCAGCATGCAGAATCCTGCTTCACTGTGGCTCATACAAGGTCTTAAAAATGAGTGTACAAATTCCTGTGTTCATTAATTTATTGTAATTAACCTTTTTTGTGTATAAATTAACGACCACTTATTCTGTCCAGATCCGCTGTGAAGGAATCCGTCTGTTCCTGCTGTGGCTGCAGGCACTAAGGGACAGCTGTGCTGAGGAGCAGTACCTTATATTTGCCTGTCTAATTCCAGGATTCCCTGCTGTTCCCTCTTCTAGAGGACCCTGCACACTTGACACTATCATTTACAACCCTTTTTCTAACCCACCAGATGGTGAGTCAAAGCAGACGCGTCTGTGCAAAATTTATATTTGGAATTCTGATTGTATTTTATTTTCTTCTGTGGTCTGTCCATCTTTTAAATTTGAGCAGCCAAGGTTGTGCCTGAGGAGATTACACCACTGGTTCCAGCAGTGATGGGAGAAAAAACTGCAGATGACCTGACCTGTTACATCCTTGAAACATTGCTCAAGTATATGGTTATTCAGGTAATGAACTCTGTCATTACAAGAACACTTTGTTACTGGCCAGTTGCAGAGGCAATATCGGAAGTTTTTATTAATTTTCTTTTAGAACTGCTGTTTTTAGTTCTATTCAAACTGCGAATGACACTCCTGAGCGACACTAGGTCCATGTCCTGTTCTTGAATGTGACATCTGCCTTTATACGGTCTATTTTCCAGGCCTCCAGTTTAGAATGGAAAAACAAAGAAAATCTCGACACAGGCTTCAGGTTTCTCTTCAGTCTTTTCAAGAAATACTACCTTCCCCATTTATTCCCTTCCTTCAGCAAACTCACAAATCTCTACAAGCCTTTATTAGGTAAGCTAAACCACAGAATACATACAGTATAATTATCTTTGTTCTGAAGTCTCAAATATTCTCTCACTCAATGTTTACACTATTCATCAACTCAGAGGTTGCTCCAGTTTGATATATGACATCTGAGTTTATGCTACACTTTTTTTAGAGGTTGTGGTTTGAGTATTAATTTAAGCAACAACGGTGGTCACAAAGCAAAAGGCAAGCTTGATAAAGTTAACAAAAGCTGGTCATGTTTACATTTTACATACAAGTTTACCCAGTAACTTTTATCACAGGTTGAAAAATAATCTTGTTAATAATAATTATAAT